GTCATGACTGTGTATGATGATGAAGTCTACGTGAAGTCCGGTGCTCTAATCGACAGGTTAACTCGAGTTAAGAAAATGCCCCGCCCATCACCGCGCACGGCGGCAGATCACGATTCTCTTGCCAATCTCCCGTGACGGGCATTCTGGCCACAAAACGCTGTTGTTGAAGGTACAGCAGCTTCAGAGGGATTGATAATTTGGTAGAAATTTTTGATTCACTATAGTATTAGAAAAACCTGTCCTGTAGAATCATACTTCAGAGACTAACCATAACAGGTGACTGCTATAAATAAATGACAGGGCCATATTACCCAGTGTAGGGATAAGAAAAACAAACAAAACTTACTCCAAAAAATTATCGGGCTTTCAGTTGGTCAGAAAATCTCCCAAAAACTGAGAATGTGGAAGCAACCCGACAGAGAAAAGAAAATAGCGTTCAAAAAGAGGGCGCGGGAAACTAGAACATTTTTTTGACAGAAGTTTTCACATTCCTGGCTTGTTCCAGGCTTCACGACATTGGCTAGTTCCACGTACTTCTTCATTACTCTATGTGACAAGACGAATGACGTCAATGCTCCTTAGAAACGTGGAGCAGGCTGAAGAACGCCTCGTCATTGAAGATTAATCAGAGGCAACGCTTCGGTGTGTCAGGAGGCTCGGTTTGACACGGCATGAGCCCGCTATCCACAAACTGCTGTCGCTGGCCCACTTCAATAACCACCAGAGAACGGACCTGCGCTGCTCTAAACCCAGTCCCCCTCATATGTCCCAGCGAATGCAGCGAAAACGACTGTAAACTTGCTTTGGTCAGTTGAACGAAGATTTGGAAAAACACGGATCTACTTCTACTTTTCTACTTTCCTCTCAACCTGACCCAAAAAGCAGGATATACACATTAATTTTATCGAACAAATGCGTGAAATGTTGAAAGAGATTCATCTAAAACACTTAAGAGAGGCTCATGTAACAGACTATCTCGTTTCGACGTAACGACGTCATGTGAAGAGTATCTGACATTGTATCACCTTCAATAGTTGGTTAATTAACAATCACTCGATTAAATTTGTATAGTACGGATAGTAGATGATTACATTTATAAGTGGAACAAAAAAAGAACACAACGAATGAAAGGGAGAGGATATTTCACGTAAATGGAAATGAGGTACGACATTGGAACACGGAGAGTTACTCTCCAACAAGATTCGCACTAGCGTTTAATGGAAAAGATATAACAAGCGCCGGGACGAATTTTCAACTAATACTAATACGACGAGATGATATCTCATGATAGATTACCATAAGAATGTACAAACACGGTTTGAACATGGCAGCATGAACGGAAGTTTTAATTACAAACATATAATGAATCGTGCGAACATAATCAACGTAGGAACTAACTATTGCACGCAATAACTCCGATAAACTCAGTGAAATCATGCTTTTTTGGCCAAGAATAGACAGTGATTGTCAGAAATTGAGGCACAGATAATTTTGTACCCATCCAAATGCGCTGACGTTATTTTTTGTGGCGTTGGCACGACCTGAAAATATATAGCATTGCAAAGCACGTTCATACTTCGCATTCGAAGCTTTGATTGCGCGAAAAGTCGCTCGCACGACTAGAGCATCTAAATCAAATCGTGAAGTATGAACGCTTCCTCAGACAGCGCGTTCAGACTTCGCGATAAAGCACGTCGCACTGTAATGCGCTGCAAACACGCTTCGACGCGCGACAAAGACAACAGCGCTTCAAAGCTATAGACGCGAACGCAGCTGTAGACGGTAAGCGCGCAACCGATAGATTGACTTGGGCAACATCTACCATCCTGTTGCCCCGTACTCTTTCGACACGCAAGCGCCCATCGAATGGGAATCGATGGGCGCCAGTCGTCTACGACTGTTCGCTTCGATGGCGTCGCGAGTGCCATTGACAATTGTAGCGCGTCAACGCGCATTACAGCGCGTCGTCGCGAATGTCTGAATGCTGTTAAACACTGTAGCACAACTTGCTTTTCCCTTACCTTATCATCGTCATCCTTTAATCCCAGGCCAAGTTGACCGCTAGTGTCACAACCCCACGCATAAGCATCTCCATGTTCTGTCCATGCTATCGAACAACCTAATTTAGCTGTCGTTCCAGCGATTTTTCCAGCTTCTCGTGGGAATTTAATGCGTTCCAAGGTGGAGTACCTTCATGACAAATTCATTATTGATAATGAAACTTCACATTTCGAGGGCTGGCACAATTTCCGCTCTCCTTAAACAACAACCAAACGCTCTCTGAACCTACTTCCAATGTTCTGAATCATCATTTCCAGTCCACGTTCCGAGACCAAGGGCGTTGTCCGTATTTTTTTCCGATTCCATACACTTGTCCTGCAAATATCAATATGAAACAACGACAATTGCGAAGTGGCAAATAAATAATACAATACAAATACAAAATATACCTCATAGTTTCTTTCACCACTCTTACTGTGCTCCTAGCTGCTGTTTATTAATTACTGCTTTGGGAATGCAGTAGTCAAGGCTATCCTTCTTTCCTCAAGAATTAACCATTGTTTTAGGGGATGTGGCGATGTCAGACAGATATTCTTAGGGAGAGATTCATGGAAATGGATTGGTGTGGATCGTTCATACCGCTTTATACTTGGTAGACTGCCTCTCTGGATAGGTATATGAGGCGCATCCTTCAGCAAATGAAGAAAAAAAATGGAGACAGGGAGAGCTGCAAAGCCCTCGAAGAGGTATATTTAAATACCGTCGACAAACGGAGCCATAACCTACAAGCATTCGTCCATCCGCCGCGGATCGCCGTCAATCGCACAAGGGAATTCATTGCTGTGTGGAACCTAATGCTAATGCTTACTTGATGAGTGATTCCTGTTCCTTTTCATGTGGGGTAAATGTGTCCGCAGGTACAGTAGCGTGTTACTTTCTCCGGTCAAAAGTGCACGCTAATGGAGCGGAGTAGGTTTCCAAGTGACGTCCTCATAGTCCACCCGCGTCGACCCGTTGAGGACAGCACCAGCGGAATAGAAAGACGGTACACAGGTATCACTACCCTCCGGCCGCGTTCCCGTGCACTTTTGACCGTAGAAAAAGGCACGCTACTGTAGCTGCGGGCCCATTCGCCTTGAATATGGCGAGGATCGTTGTCGAATGTCCGTACGTGATGTACATGATTGTCTTCAGAAATACGATACAGAAGACTATGAGGCCAATATCCTCCGTTGAAATCTAACCGAAAACGAAACTTTGGAGTCAACAACGAATACCTTCAAAATACCTCTACCCCAAGTTCATTCATGTGGCGAATGAAACAAAAGAACCAATCTCAGTTTGTATAGAGGTAAATCGGGATATAAGCGATCAAATGTACGAGCAATAGAGAACAAGGACGGTCTATCACGGTTCCTCACCATCTTTGTCTCGAGCAATTATATGTTGCACACCATCAATATGCGTCCATGATTTGCCCAAGTATGCCGTGGCAACACCTGGTGTGAAAATACGAAGTTCTCGCTTGTCTTCTTCGGAAGCTATAAGGAAACAACAATTACAGGTTGCACTATACGCACCACAGCACTCTGAGAAACAAAAGCTACTTCATGTATCACAGCC